AAGAAGTGAGCCAACTTGAATATGGTGAGGGGACATGAATGAGAGCCACACCAGAGGAGACAGAGTAGATTGTGGTAACAAGCCTCAAGATTGTGGGGACAAGACAAGGCAGTGGGATGAGACAAGACACAGCTGGGTGCTGTGGAGATAGATTGGGTGAGGAGCTGAGATATGGGAAAGACTGGGACTTTTGGAGAAGCCCAGATGGGGAGACTGGGACTGGCTGGACGAAGAGATTGGGAATCTGAGGGTGAGACTGAAATTGGATAAAGGAGCCCAAGGTTGAGAGACTGGGACTGGATGGGTGAAGGTATTGGGTGGTCTTTGAAACTCACTGGTAAAGTGTCTTCCTCATTCCCATCTAGTGCTGGTCTACCTAGAGGATGACAACTTATTAGTACTATCACTTATTCTGTTAGTTGAAGTGTCAGAGGTCTGTACAGTGGATCTAAATGTTCCAACCCTGCTGATGACCAATGTAGGTTTGCTTTTTTAAAAACCTAAGAAATTACATGCAATTTGTCTGTTCTTGTGATATTTAGATTGCTAACTTTTTGGAGCCAGCGCATGGTCTTCCAGTGTGTATGTGCAGTCAGACATTGATTGGGACCATCAATTAGTACCACATTTAATCATCATTAAATTTTTCACAGAAAGTTAACTTGACTGGTCCTTCTAATCATATTAATCCTGAGCTCCTATTTTCTCAAGCTCTTGTACAGTCCAGATTTCAACTTTACAGATTTCAGGGTTCTTAGTGAAATTGGTTCACTGTTATATTATCTACCCATTTACTCACAAATTAAATCCCAGCAGTTTAAGTCATGGATATGAAGCTGTGGATTTTTTTTTAAAAGCCATAAAAATCATGGACTCCGTGTAGCAATGACTAAAATGCAGCTTCTGATATCCAAAGCACAAATAACTGACTACATAGGGGTTCAGACAGAAATATTGTATGTGAAGGGCCATAAACATAAAATGAGAAAAGCAATTGACACAGACTACAAAGGAAGTCAGATTACATCAGTGACTTGTTTATCAAGGGTTATTTTTAAAAATTGTGAAAATGGGATGAAGACAAACCAAGAGAAAATAAGCATGTTGGATCAAATAGTATTTTATACCTCTTTTTTAATTTAGATACCTTCAATCATATCAGCACTCTTTATACACATGTAACGTTCATAGCTCTGACCACATCTGCAGCTCTGAGACAAAATGATTAACATCAGGGAACGCATGATAAGGAGATACTTTCCATTGAACATATTACATTTAATATGAATGCTATCAGTTTAAAGGAATATTTCACTTCAGTTAGGGCAGTATCCACCAGTAGAGCCCTGCACAGACACAAACTTTATATCCTCAGATATAAATCGGTATCTGTGGAGCTACAGGGCTCTACTGGGAACCAGAGCAATAAAAGCAGCATCATGTTGGGCCGCTGCTACCCAGAACCAGCGCCCTGCACCGGCAGCAACTCTGGCATGACTGTACTGCCCCCAGACCCACCCACTGGGGCTCCACAACCAGGGACAGCTGCCAGTCAGCCTGGTGCCCACCTCAGTGGGCGGGGCTGAGGGTGGTACAGCCATGCTGGAGCAGCTGCTGGCGCGGGGTGCTGGCTTCTGGGAGTGGCGGCCCAACATGCTGCTGCTTTCGCCACTGTAGTTCCCGATAGAGCCCTGCAGCCTTGCAGATACGGATTTATATCCACATCTGCGGATATAAATTTTGTATCCGCGCAGGGCTCTGTCCACCAGATTGTAATGTGGATAATTATAACTTGTTCTAATGCACACTTTGTTCTGTTACCAGGCTCTGTTTGTTATTTTTGCAGATACTTTGTACTTAATTTTGTACTTAATGATCAGTTTTCTGAGCTATACTTGTGATTAGAAAGTTTACTCTTTACTGTTATAAAGCTCTCTTTTTTTATTGTGATTGGGAAAAGGATCTCAAATAGTGTTAAACTGCAATTGTCATTCATTATCCGTTGTATCTGGCACAATGTTGGTGCCAAAACCCATTTTAAATTAATCGGAATGGGAAGGTAAAATTCATAAATGTTAGTCGTTTCAGAGGAACATATCAGTAACCTTAGAAATGCTGTAAATCATAATTTAAGAATACAATCAAACTGTTGAATAGTCACAGGGAAAGTAGTGGTAGATTTGAGACACATTCTTTTTTGACAAAAACAAATGTATTGGTATTGTGCACTTAAAACTAATATACATGTGTAAGTCTTTAAATAGGAACATTTAAATTACCAAAAACAGTAAGAAGAGGAATTGAGTCAGTTGTATCATTATTAAACTTGAGAAATGCCAAGAGCAAATTGCAGTAGTTGATATTTTTAATTTACTTTATATTGAAATATAATTGTACCTTATAGTGGCTTTTGTTATCTTCATTCAGTGAAAATGTCTTCCATTCTACCCTTTATTCATCTTTTCTTTTTCTTTTTTAATCTGGCTTTGAAGTCAACTGATTTTTCTGATCAAAGTGAAACTGCAGCTGATTATTTTAGTCGTTCCAATCGCAGGGGGAGCATTGTTTCTGATGTGGACGATGTCAGTATCCCAGATTTAAATAGTGTGAGTGTAATGCATATTATGATATTGTAATGAATACAACGGGCTACTAATGATGAGTTTTCTTACTTTACTGAAAAAAAGAATAACTGCCTGAAAAAGGAAAAAACCTCAGAACAGTAGAATTTACTCAATAGTGAATGAGTTTTGTAGCTGTTTTTTAAACTAACTGCCAGTTTTCTTCTTAGAAAATAACAGAATGCGCACTGAATAAAAACAAATCTCTTATCTCTTGGAATGCTATTTTTTAACACAGTTCAGAAAATTATTTTGTCCTTTGCCTGAGATATACATGAATTTATAACAATCTAATTGTATTGTGTATAATATATAATCATGTACTGGAATCATTAACAGTTTATGCATCCATTTGTATGAGTGCTATGTATACCTGAAAAAGAGCTTTGTGTAAGCTTGAAAGCTCCTCTCTCTCACCAACAGAAGTTGGTCCAGTAAAAGACATTACCTCACCCACCTTGTGTCTCTAATATCCTGGGACCAACATGGCTACAGCAACACTGCATGCTATAAATACGTAAGGAATGTACAATGTCTGATGTCCTTTATATAATAAGCCTAAAAACCTTTGAGAGTAAACTGTGGCTTTAGTCTGAAATAACAAGTTACTGTGCAAAACTGGCACCCTTTTATTCCACAAATCTTATTTGCTGAGAGTTTTCAAAGAGTATCTACGTGCTTTAGTGACCCCCCCCCCCCCAAAAAAAAGTTTGGGGTGCTGGTAGCCATCCCATGGCCACACAGTTATGGGAGTATAAACTGGATTCTACTCCTTTTCATGTATTGACAGAATTATCTTAATTCCAATTGCAGGGCCACGTTCTACCACCAGTTACTCCTATTTAACTGAGCTAAGAATTTGGTGCCCAAAATCCCTCCTTTTTCTAGTAGACTGTCCCAATCATTCAGATACAATGAACAGCTAGTCCCCCCAATACCCAATTTACAATTACTTGTAAGAGTAGAACCACACTTCAAGTTAGCAAAATATTTTTTCTTTTCAGATGAAAAAAACGTAGTGCAGTATTATTGTCACCACCATGTATGTTATTCACCATCACTGTATGCAGCTGTATGTTCAGAGCATGGATAGATGTCAGTTGCAGTGTGCATTCTGTTTCAAATTGAAAGTTAAGCTTGTAATTTTTTAAATAAAGTTACTTTTACAGATATTAGCGTTCTCTGTTACAAGGACGTGACAATGTGTTGAGAGTGGTTAATAGCATTATTTTCTCGTTTACTAGAATTGCTGTTGTGTGAATGGATTCTTAATTCTTGTTTTTATGGTAGCAATAAAAATTACATAATTAAAATTTTCTAATTGATTCTCTATAGGGAAGATTGGATTCAAACAATGTAGTGCAGGTTCACAGTTGATCGTGGGAAAAGGGAGTTGTAAGTTACAACTCTTTGAGACAGAGCCATTATTAAGAGAGTCTACTGATTGATTATCTGCTTCCGGTAGTAACATATGCTGCAGTGGCAGCTCTAAAGATGAAACCAGGAAAGAACGTGAGACATGGAGAACTGATGTCTTCAAAATTGTATGAACTTTGCTTCTGCTGTGATGCCAAATCCTCTTAACTCTTCTCCATTAGTTTAGGGCAAAAAGAATTAGATATTTGTGTTGAAGACAATTATTGGATAAGTTGTTCTGGAGAAGCTACTTATACTTATTACAAATCTATACATTTTTAATGTCTTAGGCTTACATTTCATTTGGATTTTTGACTGAAGAAAATGTTGAAATAAGTCTCTGAGTAATAAAAAACACATTCACACAAAAGTTCAGTACATCGAGACTTCCTATAACAGATGTGTGTGTTTCTGGTCAAGCTTGATTAATTAAAATATTGTCTGAAATAAATAGTAAGCTATTGGAAATAGTTAGCCCCCTTCGATCATGCCTTCTTCAACCTCAGTTATTTGTCTTGATGTGATTGCCAGTTCTAACAAATAGTGTGGTGTATTGTGACGTGAACGTGTGTTTTCTGGTGACTAGATTAAGACACTCAAAACTGATTTCATTTGTGATCTAAACCAGACTTCCAAAAAGGTTAGTGTTTGCTATTCTGCTTACCATCGCAATCACTTCTATGCTGAGATTTATAATACTGAAAATAATTTCTGTTCTCAGTTCTCTAATATTAACAAAGGTTTTTACCTGAACAGAAATTTTAGATAACCTATGTTTTATTTTTAATTATAATCATAATTTTAATTGTAGCATTTACAAATAAATTAAAGTTGTGGAGCGTTGTAAACCATTCTTTGTAATCCTGTGGATTATGTACATCTCATTATGCTTGGTGAACTCAAAGGTGTTACAGCTGTTCAGTCACAAAATGAATAATTATAATCACTTTTTTCTCTCTCCAGCTGGAAGAGAAGTGTGACAAACCGTATTCTGAAATTTACACCAGGGTATGTTTGTTTGTTAAAAGATTGAAAGTCAATTTTCTTGCTTTAATTATAGTCAATTTTGAAATATCTCCAAAAGTTTATATGCCATATGTTTTAGTAGTGTTTGTATCCTAATACTTTTTGACAGTGTTAATTGCAAAACGACACTTGTAAAGCTCTGTGTAAAGCCTAGTTTAACATTCCTGTTCCTGTCCCTTTATTTCCCATAGGAAGGGAATGTCTCTTAAAGGAGCTATTTTATTTATACAGTTCATCCCCATATGTCAGGAAATGTTGAGCAAAGAGATTGAATATGAAGGGGACAGGACTGGAAAAACTCAGATTTTTTTAACTGCTGTTGCAGACATTGCTCCAAGTCCTTGTGTGGGAGGGATTAAAATGACTATTAAAAGTGTGGAAACTTTGAGATCGTTCCAGCACAACAAGCCCACTAGCAAGATGTACCTAAGTATAGAACTTCAAATTTCTGTAGGATATAAGTAAAAATATGATGATTGATAAGCTACTTATTTTAGTTTTTCTCTTCACTGTTACATCACCTCAACCAAAGTATTTTGTAAACATCTCATCAACAAAACTGATCATATATCATAGCAAGCATATGGAGACAGCAGATCAAGATATAAACTAGATTCTGGAAATCAACCTTGGTCAAAAGTATGATATTATAGAACCCGAATCTTAAATCAGGTATAAAACAGGATTTTTTAAATGTATGTTTTCAGTTTTTAATTGTCAAGTAATTTATTATGAGAAATGTGAGAGATATCAAAAAGTGGGAGGCTACCACCTCAGAAAATATCATAGTATGAATCCTGATATAGTTTATTCTTTTTTTTAAGCCGGCATCTCGCAATTCAGCAAGTACAACTCCTCTGAGTGGGAATTCATCCAGACGAGGAAGTGGGGATACAAGCAGTTTGGTGGATCCTGATGTTTCATTAAGTGAATTACGGGTAAACTCTGTTACTGATTTGAAAAAGCAGGAGGGTTTGTTTAATATGATGGGGCGGTAGAGAGGGAGATGGGATTTCTGCTTATTTGACATAGAAAAATAAAATGTGATCTATCATTTTAAGACGGTGAGGAAATATAGATGCATGTTATAGCAATGTTACTACTTACATATGTAAATGTTTGTGGCACTGGAAGCTGAGTACTGAAACAAATTTTATTTTAATAACATTAGAAATTGTTGGATAGATTTAAAAAATGGGACTGAGTAATTTTTAATACTAGTAATTTTCAAACAATGGTTGCATAACAAAATAGAATTTTTCACTGATTTGAGGGTTGTTTTCAATTTCTCTGTGTTAAAAAATGTTTTGTATATTTTATTTTGCACTCTGGCATTTGACTGAAAAATATGCAAAGCTAAAGTCCTGTTTTCTTCACAAAATTTTCAACTGTAAACTATTTTCCCTCTTTTATGCAATGGTTCATTCCTATGTCCTGCAGGATATCTATGATCTTAAGGACCAGATACAAGATGTAGAGGGGAGATACATACAGGGACTTAAAGAACTAAAGGTATAAGGGCTCACCATCCCAAGCATGCATTTTATATGGACATATGTTGGTATTGGAGATTTTATCAGTTCCACTAACTGCACATAGCTTTACTAACTAGATTTTTTTAATATTTCTCTGAAGCATGTGCTTAACCTGCAATGCATAGGATGGATCAGATTTTTGTATGTGTAAATTACTAAAATATACTATTTCCCTGTAGATTCAAAGTTATTTATTAGTCTCACATTAAAATAGCATTAAATGTTTACAGTTTTCATATCAAGTGCCAATAAGATGAAAACTAATTGAAGCCTTATATATGGTTTAATATTTTAATGGAAAATAAATGCACATTAAAAATTCATACAATGTGTGAAAAAAGACAGAAATGGGAAGTAGTTCTGACAAACAAAATAATTTAACCAAGGAAATTGTCAAGAATTAAACTTATAAATTTCAGAAAACATTAATTAAAAATCCAAAAATATTTAAAAAAAAATACACTGTCATGTGTATTGGATTCAGGAGTAGATGAGGCTTTTATGGCCTATTGATAGACTAGTATCAAGTGAGAGAGGTGGATTTTTTTAGTATACTTTGTTTGCACTCTGTTCATCTTTTTCTGTCATATACACAAGGTTCTCATTGTCCTAGTCCTTTGTCATAGTTAACAATATGCTGCTTAATATTTAAAGTACAATTACTTTCCCATTTGCTTTACGGCATTCTCATCTTTGTTTTCTGTCCAATTAATTCATTTAAGAAATAACTTACAATTAATTTACATTCTGAAGCCTTCCTCCCCCTTTCTCGGCTGTGCCCAGAAGAAACTGGATGCAGAGGAGAATTTGATCTGTCTTTTTCAGTATATTCTTATCCAGATGCCTGTATTCAAATTTCTTGTGAATAGTAATATTTAAATATGAAGAGCTCTTAATTGTAATTATTTCTGTTGCATGCACACACACACCCATTTAAGATGCTCTTAATGATCAAGTAGAATTCTAACCTTACCTAAATTGCATTTTAAAGCCATTTTGTTTTGTTTAGTAGCCTTCTTGTGGAGGGATTTAAAGAGAATATGTAATATATTCTGATAAAAGGGAAGTCACACGTTTTAAAGTCAGCATTTCATTATTCTACACTATCCCATCTCCCTTTCAGAGAATGAGTGCATAAGCGATCAGAACAGCTGGTTTGAGGTTATGAGGTACATAATTTGTATCTCCTTGATGTTAGTGTATTAATGGGCCTCATAGTAAAATGGTCAAAATACTTTTTTTTTTTTTTTTCCCTGTAGCCTATTGAATTCTTGATGCAGTCTTATGAATTTCCTTAATGGTGGCAGAGCTGGAGGATATCTGGCTTTAAGAACTCATGTTACTGTAGATGCAGATGTCAAAAATTCTGTAATGATGTATAACTACAGGTTCAAATATAAATATGGAGTTCTTATTTAACTGTCAAAATATCTATTATTTTACAAGTCCTCTATTTTCTTGATCTTGTCAAAACACTTTGCATCCACAGGCCTTTATCATTTAACAACTTGAAAAAGATACCTTTTTTGTTAACTCTGCATTGCACCTGAAAGAATATTTTCAAAATGGGCTTAATGCTAATAAACATGAAGTACTTTGTGCATGCTTGTCTGCATCTCATAAGTGATGTTATGAATCATTAGGAATGTTTTATTTGCAGATAATGTGATGATTGCTTTTCACTTACCATAAAGCACAAGCTATCAATAAAAATTAACATTCTAGAAGCTTTGCTTGGCTGATATCAGATTTAAAAAGTGGATTGCTGTTATTACTATTGTAATTTTAAGAATCCTTAAGGGATCTAATTTTAAGATACTTAAGCACCAGTCCAAGATTATAATTTTGTAATGGATTTTTTTCAGTGGCATGATCATACTCAGAGCTGACATATGTTTTGGTGATCTGCAACTCAAAGTCAATATATTTATTATATACGTTCTAAATATTCTCATAAGTATTTGGAAATCTTTGCATCTACAGTCAAGAACTTCTTAAGTTTGAGCCTATTTCTTATGAATGTCCATCCCCTGACGTGCTATTACTACTGGGCCCTTCTTACAGCTTTGGCTCAGTGGCACTACATGTTTTTTCCCCTTTCAAGACTCAGGAAATGTCGTCTTGAGAAATTCTCCACTGCACTATATTCTCTGTTTACTCTGCCTCCAGTTGTAAGGTAATGGTTCTCTGTAACTCTCTTCCTCCTCCTAACAGGGAATTTATCTTATTTTTCTTGATCTCTGCCTAGTAGTTTTCTGTTGGGCACCTTTCAGAGCTGCCTGGGAACCATACCAGCTTTGCAATTCCCATGGGTGCTTTTCCAGTAGTGGAGGAGTAATGATCTGCCAGCCCACCACTTTCCTGTTCCTAAGGCTGGTGTTCACCCTTCAAGATCTCTAGGATAGCTGAGAAATATACAGATTAAAAAAATTGTGCAAGGGATAGAAAATGTCCAGATTGTGGTTCCACCCAGTCTAAATCAGTTATGTGTGGCTTCTGCCACCAGTGCCATCTACCCTCAACTCAGTCTGAAGGGAATCCTTCCATCTTTTTCAGGCTTTCTGACTCTTGGACTTAGCTCTACAAGTGTGCAATCTGCCTCCATTGACCTCCTCAGGTCAGCCTGACTAATTTATATAGCCTCTCCATTTTAGATTTCCAGCTAAAATTTGAGGTGACTTTATTTCCGAGTAGCTCTTTTGAGTTGCCTGTAGATTATTTCCATTTTCCAGCCCATTTCCCCCTAGAATTCTCAGTGTCTCCTTCCAAAATTCTTCCAAGTCAGTATTATTTCTGAACCTGACCAACAGATCTATGATACTGATACCTCTACAGAATCTGCTGCCTGTAGAAGCCATCATCTGTGTTTCTTCTCTGGAGAAAGGGGAACAGTTTTTTCTTAAAATGTTTTGTGGCCTCCAAGAAAGAGGGCGGCTTTTGTCCAGTGAAGGACTTGAATCTCGCAGTCAGGAAGGTGAACTTCTGGATGGAATCCATAGCACTGACTCGGGAGATATCACCAGGGGGCTATGTGTTTTCAGTTAATCTCAAGGTCTACTTCCCATTTGTAGTAATGTCTTTGAGATTGTCATCAGCTCCCAGAGTATTTCAGATCTCATATAATTTGGATGTTGTACTGATATATTTCTCCAACAAGGGAAATAGCCTGGGACTCTCTTCAGACCACCAGATTAATTCAATAACATGAGTTTGTGACCAACTTGATATAGAGATCTTGCCACCCCAGAATCTATTTCAGAAGATCAAGTCTGATTCTTCCTGTGGTCCAAGCCCATTAAGTATCAGCCCTCTAGTGCCTGCAACTTCTGATGATCTTCTGTGCAGTTATAGTCCATTGAGCCATAATATATCTGAGTTCTTTTGCACTTCCTCCTGGCAACTGAAACTAGCAATACAAGAGTATGAACAAACTGATTGAGCTATCTTATCCATTTCATAGCTCACTCAAGTGGCATGTTTCCTTCCTTGTGCATAACCGTATAGGCAAGCCACTCTGGTTACCATGCTGAGACGGGAAATCACTTAGTCCAGTGATCTCAAGGATAAACTCATTCCATTTCACCTTTTGAAACTGAGAGTGCAGAGGGATATTGTCAAGTTTCTCCTTCCAAAAATTGTGCCATCTCCAAAATATCTCTACATATAGAAAAAAGAGTGGTTTCACCCTCACTTATTGCAACAGGCAGGGAGGCACTACTTGCACACACACACACACACACACACACTTTTTGTGTGTGTGTGTGTGTGTATATATATATATATGTATACATATATATACACACACACACACACACACACACATACATACACACATACACATACACATGTATGTATGTGTACATGTATATAGAGAGAGACAGACCTTAAGAAGTCCTACAGTTCTGGAAAATCTGGGCTGTTTTATGTGGGCCTCAAATGTCATGGTGAAGAGCCACCACCAAAACAGACTGGTTGAGTTTAAAAGATCTCTTACTGTGAGAATAGAAACTGAGTTTAAAAAAAATTTCAGCTTCTAATCCAGAAATGGTTAATTAAACAGACACTTTTCAAATCAACTCAACAAACAGGTCCTTTTATCTTACTCCAGACACTGGCATCAATCACCTTCGAAGATGGGTATTTTTTTTTCTTTCCTTTGGATGTGTCTTCAACTTTACCGTTGCCAACAGAGAAAATATAATTTAAAATATCTGGGAGGACTGTGCCTTAGTAAGTCTTGTAATCAGACCACTGGGAGCTGCCAATTATGAAGGACTTAATTCATCAAAGTCCTCATGGAGACTGCTCTTCCTAGCTGGAACCTCAAAACTGAAGCCTTGTCTCACCTGATTACTCCAGAGAACTAGTAGATTTCCTCATTATATCAAGAAAGCTGTGCATGTTCAGTATATATAAAAGAATGTGAAATATATGATTTTCCTGGTATGATCAAAGGACAATAAACACCTTTTAGGCCACTATAGAAGGAATACTAATGTCTCAGTTGTCCAGTTTTCAAAGTGGCCTGTGCCTCAGTTATTTTAAGCCAGGTGTCTGTTCTAAAAACAATCCATTTTCTCTTTTGTCTGAAAAGTCACCTCTTCAACCTCTTCTCTGCAGATTTTCTCATCTCTAAGGCATCAGAAACTAAACATCAACCTGTTGTACAATGGAATTCGACTTTGGTCCTCCAACTCTTTTTCTGTTGGCACCTGTCTTTTCCTCATGATGAGAAGAAAAAAAAATTTTCAGCAGTCACCTCAACTAGAAAAATAAGTGAACAAAGGGACCCCTTTTATTAAAGACCTGTAGTTGCAGTTTTTTCCAGAGATAATTGTGGTTTTTGTACCACTCTGGAATTTGTCCCCAATAGAGTATCTTTCTACTTTAACATGAGAACATAAGAAGGACCATACTGGTTCAGACCAATGGTCCAGCTAGTCTGGTATCTTGTTTTCTGACAGTGGCCTTGCCAGATGCTTCAGAGGGAATGAACAGAACAGGGCAATTGAGAGATCCATCCCTGGTCATCCAGTCCCATCTTTTGGCAGTCAGAAGTTTAGGGACACCCAAAGCATTGGATTGCATCCCTAATCATCTTGGCCAATAACCACTGATAGACCTATCCTCCATGAATTTATCCAATTCTTTTTTGGAGCCGTTATACTTTTGGCTTTTGCAACATCCCCTGGCCGTGAGTTCCACAGGTTGGCTGTATGTTGTGTGGAGAAGTACTTCTGTTTCTTTTATGCCTGTTAATTTCTTTGGGTGTGACTCCTGGTTCTTGTATTATGTGAAGGGTTAAATAACACTTCCCTATTCACTTTCTCCACACCATTCATGATTTTATAGACCTCTATGATATCCCCCTTTGGGCATCTCTTTTCAAAACTGAACAGTCCCAGTCTTTTTAATCTCTCCTCATATGGAAGCTGTTCTGTACCCCTAATCGTTTTTGTTGCCCTTCTCAGTACTATTTTCCAATTCTAATGTGCATCTTTTGAGATTGAGTGACCAAAGAGCGTGCATTATTCAAGGTATGGGCGTAGCATGGATTTATATAGTGACATTATGATATTTTCTTTATCTATCCCTTTCCTAATGATTCTTCATATTCAGCTTTTTTGATTGCTGCTGCACATTGAGCAGATGTTTTCAGAGAACTATCTGCAATCACTCCTATCTAACTTGAGTGGTAGCTAATTTAGATCCCTTCATTTTGTGTTTATAGTTGGGATTATGTTTTCCAATGTGCTTTACTTTTGCATTTATTGCCAGTTAACTTCATCTGCCATTTTGTTGCCCTGTCACCCAGTTTTGTGAGATCGCTTTGTAACTTTGTCCCAGTACAGATCCTTTGGGGACCCTACTATTTAACTTTTTCCGCCGTGAAAAATGACCATTTGTTCCTCCTACCCTTTGTTTCCTATCTTTTAACCTGTTATTGATCCATTAGAGGACCTTCCCTTTTATGCCATGACTGCCTACTTTGCTAAGAGCCTTTGGTGAGAGACCTTGTCAAAGGCTTTCTGAAAGACCAAGTATACTATATCCATTATTTCACCATGGTCCACATATTTGACACCCTTAGAGAATTCTAATAGATTTGGCAAGGCATGATTTCCCTTTACAACGCCGTGTTGACTCTTCCCCAACATATTGTGTTAATCTATGTTTCTGATAATTCTTTACTATAGTTTCAACCAATTTGCCTGGTGCTGAAGTTTAGGCTTACTGGCCTGTAGTTGCCAGGATCACCTTTGGAGCCTTTGTTAAAAATTGTCATTACGTTAACTATCCACCAGTCATCTGATTTAAGCGATAGGTAACATACCACAGTTAGTAGTTCTGTGATTTCATATTTGAGTTCCTCAGAACTCTTTTGTAAATACCATGTGGTCCTGGGGACTTATTACTGTTTAATTTATTAGTTTATTCCCAAATCATCATTACTGATACCTCAATCTAGGACAGTTCCTCAGATTTGTCACCTAAAAAAATGGCTCAAGTGTGGGAACCTTCCTCACATCCCCTGCAGTGAAGACTGATGCAAAGAATGCATTTAGCTTCTCCTCAGCCTTGTTTTCCTTGAGTGCTCCTTTAGTATCTCAATTATCCTGTGGTCCCACTGATTGTTTGGTGGGCTTCTTGCTTCTGATGTACTTAAAAACTAAGAGCAAAAATGTTTTTGTCTTTTGCTAGTTGGTCTTCATATTCTTTGTTGGCCTGCCTAATTATATTTTTACACTTTGTATTTTCCTCAGTAGGATTTAACTTCTAGTTTTTTAAAATATGTGTTTTTTATCTCTAGCCACCTCTTGTACTTTTCTTTTATTGGTCCTCTTACTGTTTTGGTGTGGGTTTTTTGGGGGTGGGGGGTACATATTGTGTGAGCCTCTATTATCGTGTTTTTCAGAAGTTTCCTTGCAGCTTGCAGCTATTTCACTCTTGTCTGTTCCTTTTAATTTCCATTTAAGCTCCCTCCCCAGCCCCCCCCCCTTTGGAAATACTAAGGTCCATAAAACTTTATTTGATCTTACTATGGAATGGCATAACTAATGTTCTTTTCATGGGCACAAACACACCTTAAGGCTTATAAATTTATCTGTCAGGGACTCAATGCACACTCAACTAGAAGAACAACCACTTCATAAGCAGAAGAGATGAGAGCTACTTTTGATGAGATCTGCAAGGCAGACACTTAGCTTTCAACAATTAATGCTTTCACCATTCATTGTAGAATTGTCATAGTGAGCTAAGGAGAAGTTGTGTTTGTGCTACTCTTAATCTAAAATTAGAAATTCCTTTGTATATAGTTGTATAAAGCTTTTATCTATATTTTAATTGTTTTTCTTTGTCCCACTCTGACTTTAATATCTGGTTACTCTTTGCTACTTCCCAGAGTATAGAGACACATGAAAAATTTCCTTACCTGTAATTTTTTTTTGTTATGGTTTTCCATCTTCTGATATGTATGACTTCCACTTTGAAGATATCCTTTATTTTCTGGTGGAACATAGAACAAATGAATGCTTTTTCATCATGCTCATAAACCATCATATTCTCCAAGTTTAATCTATTAATTTATCCATGCACGATTATTCTGAGACCCTATCTACCAATTTCTTCCAAATACTGTCATTCTAAATCAGTATGGCATTTGTAAGTTTTTGTCCTGGGAAGGGTGCTTGAGATACGGTGTTTCTCCAGCACAGGGCTTCTGGATCCTGGAAGTGGGAAGAGGAGGTATGAGTAGACATAATTAGATGAAATTATGAAAAGGAAGATTTGGGCTGTAAGGAACAGCTTCCCAATAGTGAAAATGTGTTAGATTATGGAATAATCTCCTTCAGAAAGTGGAATTGGTGGAAACGCCATCAGTTCCAACTTTGAAAAATAGACAACAGAACACTAGAGAATGTATAGTGGGGGAACAGTCCTACACTGGCAAGAAGATGGATTTGATGATCTAACAGGCCACCTCTAATTTATATGAATCTATTATATTGAGATTTTGCACTTTAAAATTATCTTGTATTGAGATCACTGCATATTTCAAGGATACAAGTAGGCTAATAGTTTCTCTATTATGTGAATAATTGACATTTGCTACTGTGCTTGAAAATTGTGTTTACATGATTGATTTTTACCCTCAGGGCAGAGAAGAATTGGGTAAGGAGTGGTTGACTAGGTGCATAGCAGACTGTGCACATGCACCTTCTCTTTAGCCAAAGACCGTATTTAGACAGATTAGTATCAAGTATATGAATCAAAACTGTGGAGTTCTCCAAAAAGTAAATGAGATGCATATGCCACAACTGGTAAAAGAGCTAAGCAGTTAGAGGCACAAAAACTTCTGTTTAAACAGTGATTTCTCCAAAACCACAGGGGATGATTACCAAAATGTCTGTGACCATATTAAAACTTAGGTTCTGAGCTATAAAACAATAAGTGATTGTGGTGGTGTTGATGTGTTAAAGTATCTGATTTTTAACCTGCCAAAATAAACTTATCAGTTAAAATCATTCTTAATTATTGAGAGATCTTTTTTCATACTTTTAGGTGATTTATTTGGTTAATCATTTCAGCTCTTATCACTTTTGTAATTTTACTAAATTCCTAAAAACGTTTACACCTGCAAACACTGAACAAATGTTATGGCTGTGACACAAACTGACAGAAAAACGAAAATGCATAGGTTAGGGGGAAATAGCTCCTACATCTTCCAAAGTTAGACATATTAGTAAGATTCTAAGTTCCGGAGGTGGCACAGGAAAAAATGCAGGTGAAAAGTTATTCTATAATTTGTTGCATACATTTGCAACAATTTTGCAGTGCAATTAACACTATCAACTAAATAATAGAAACTTACTGTAATTTAATTTATATTTCTACAGAAAGACCTCAAACAGTACTTAGTAAATTAAAATCTTGGTATGTTTTTAGTTCAAAACAAATGTAAGCTCTTCAGTATTATGTCCACATGTAGCATTTATACGGATTCATCAAACAGTTAAATTAATGCTAATTTTTCTAACATCTGTGCAGGATTCTCTATCTGAAGTTGAAGAGAAGTATAAGAAAGCTATGGTTTCTAATGCTCAGCTAGATAATGAGAAAAACAATTTGATTTATCAAGTGGATACGCTAAAGGATGTCATTGAGGAAAGGGAAGAGCAGATGGCAGAGTTCTATAGGAAAAATGAAGAGAAGTCAAAGGTACTGATATTTTGTGTATTAAACTGCATTATAAAATCCTGATTTTTTTTTTTTAATGAAAATAGAGCCTGATGGTCAGTAGCTACCTTGAATATTGAGATTATTTTTTAAGCAGATATGACAGAGAAGCTATATCATGATTGAAAATTATTAAGAACCGGAATGTTCTGTTGAAGTGTGTGTGTTGGGAGGGAATAATTATTTTGTCAGTCACTTAGATTCCTCCTTTCCACAAAGGTCCAGGCCTCAAATTTTTCAACACTAACTAGAAAATATAATACAAAAAGAGCATTGTGCAGATTCAATAATTGGGTAGGCTTCTCACCAGCTCATGGCACTTACACCTTGTTGGTGGGTTGCCCACATTCCCAGCTAGTAGGTTTAGTCGTTTAGCTACTTGGTGTCTGGAAAACTATTCAAACCCTGAACCTGTAAATTCTAACTTTTAAGGAGTCTGAAATGCAAGAAGAAATCCTTGCTAATACTGCTATTTACTGATGTTCATAATATGTTTATTTTAATTTATATTGAAAATGTATGTGTCAAACCCTCAACAAAGCATGCACTGCTTTACTGATATTTGTTTAATATAGGAATTGGAAAGGCAGAAACACATGTGCAATGTTCTACAGTATAAGATGGATGAACTTAAAGAGGGCCTTCGTCAGAGAGATGAACTAATAGAGGTTTGTACACATTCGACGTCATATGGCTGTACTTATGGAAATATGTGAGGGATAAAGTAAATAAAGAAGTGTTGTTGTTTATTCCTTCTCATAACACAAGAACTAGGGGTCACCAAATGAAATTGATAGGCAGCATATTTAAAACAAACAAAAGGAAGTATTTCTTCAGACAACGCACAGTCAACCTGTGGAATTCTTTACCAGAGGATGTTCTGAAGGCGAAGACTAGAACAGGGTTCAAAAAAGAGCTAGATAAATTCATGGAGGATCGGTTCATCAATGGCTATTAGTCAGGAAGGGCAGGGATGGTGTCCCTAGCCTCTGTTTGCCAGAGGCTGGGAATGGGCGACAAGGAATGGACCACTTGATTTCCTGTTCCTTCCATTCCCTCTGGGGCACCCAGCATTGGCCACTGCTGGAAGACGGGATACTGGGCTAGACGGACCTTTGGTCTGACCCAGTATGGCTGTTATGTTCTTTTGTTTTGATGTAGATAGACGATATCAAGTTTGGATATGTACGTATTTCCCGTATTCAAACTAGACACAAATATCAGATTATATTTTTTGAGCAACAAAAAGTCCAGTTGTAGTGACAGGAACATAAACTTATCCAATCAGTATTTTATGAGTTACCATTCTATCTTAATTTTTATGAATTTATTTAAAAGTTAGGAATGTTCCTATGAAATTTACAAAAATTTATATTGGATATGGTAAAATACTTCAAAAAAAAAAATCTAATTACTGGGCCTCAGACCAATATTTTCTTTTTGTGAACACAAGTCTAATGCTTCTATTCGCAAAACATGGGTTCATAGACTGGCAGTTTTCCATAGCTCGAACTCCTGCTCTACTATCACACCCAAATATTGGGCTGTTGTCCCAATCCCAGACACCAGCCTCAAATGAATTTAACTTTCTTTGCCTTCCCAAAAATGTTTGTTTTACAGTTTATTTAAAAAGGGGATGGGGGGAATTTCAGTGTTTGTGAATGACCTCTAATTAGGTTTGCATTGTGGCTTATGTTTGTGCAGGTGTACATGAATGTATTGTTTTCAGTTGGCATGGTACTGGCTCTCAAAATCAATGCCAGCTTCTTGTCTGCAAACCCCATATTAAATTGTAGGTCCAAGGAATGTCAGTTTCTAGCTCTTTTAATTAGATACACCAATCAAGGCTATAACATTTGAAAGTTATTCATTCCTCCTCTTCTCTTCCTTCCCCCCCGCCCCAGTTCCTCCACTACCCTACCAGTTCCCTGGGTTGGTCTTTGGGGTCCTGTGAAACTCAGAAGACTTTTGAGAAGACCCCTGATCAGTAGTGGGAGGATATGGTACTGATGGGGGTGCAGCTTATGGTGCTAAGACTGATGTATGCAGCCAATATGACCTCTGGCCAGGAGAAGGGGTTGTTCTTTTTCGAGTGCTTGCTCATGTCCATTCCATTGTAGATGTGTGTGCTTGCCACATGCACTGGTGTTGGATGTTTTTCCCTCAGTGGTATGCGTAGGGGACTGGTCTGGTGCCCTCTGGGGTGGTGCACATATGGTATAAAGGGCGCTGCCGGCTCCCCACACCCTCAGTTCCTTCTTTCCACCAGTGACAGTGCTGGAATGTCTCCTTGCTTCAGCAAGCGCTTACTTACCCAGTGGTTTTCTCTTAGTGTTGTAAATAGATAAGTAGTTCTTTGTCTTCTTAACTGTTAGTGTTCTAGATAGCTTAGACCAGAGGTGGGCAAACTACGGCCCGCGGTACCCTCCTACCTGGCCCCTGAGCTCCTGGCCCGGGAGTTTCGCCCCGGTCCCTCCCCAGCTGTCCTCCCTCCCCCGCAGCCTCAGCTCACTGCACCGCGGGCGCAATGCTCTGGGCAGCGGACTGCGAGCTCTTGGGGTAGCGTAGCTGCAGAGCCTGGCCTGACGACCCGGTGCTCTGTGCTGCGCGGTGCGTGGCTGGCTCTAGCCGGGCGGTGCGGCTGCCTGTCCTGGTGCAGCTGCGCTGCCAGTCACCGGTGCTCTAGGCAGTGCGGTAAGGGGGCAGAGGGCTGGGGAGTTAGGGGGGTGATCAGGGGCCAGGGGTGGGGAGGGTCAGGGTGGGGATTGGGGGTTCTGGGGGCAGCCAGTGGTTGGATGGGGCAGGGGTGCCGGGGGGACAGTGAGGAAGGAGGGGAGGGTTGGATGGGATGGCGCGGGACAGTTAGGGTCAGGGGACAGAGAGCAGGGGCGGGGCGGATGGGGCGGCCGTCAGGGGGCGAGAAGCGGGGTGGGGGGGTCCGATAGGGGGTAGGGGCTGGGCCATGCCTGGCTGTTTGGGGAGGCACAGCCTCCCCTAACTGGCCCTCCATACAATTTCTGAAACCTGATGCGGCCCTCAGGCCAAAAAGTTTGCCCGCCCCATCTTAGACAGCCTTAGACAGTTCCCTCTGGGACTTAGCCCAGGGATGGGGCATACCCCACTTCCCAGGCTTTAAGCCTGGTGATGGCAGTCGGAAGACTATGCCGATTAGCAACCCTCATCAAAGTTGCTTGAAGTGTTTGGAAGAAGCCCATATCAATTATAAGTATCGCATTTGTAAGAGCTTCAAGCCCAGGACAAAAAAGGAGCGGGACATAAGATTAAGAGCGCTCCTCATGGAGTCGGCCCTTGCGCCAGGCTCTGAGCCACCAAAATCAGACTCTGCACCGAATACGGCAGCATCGGTGCAAAGTGCACCCCCAGCATCAGCCTCCCGGCGCCAGTCCCAGTCCCCTGTACCAGCTAAGAAGCAAAAGAAGTGCCTGGGGAGAGGCGTTCCCCCGACCTCCTGTGTAGCAAAGGGAAAGTCTGGGGAAGAGTATAGATCCTTGCGAGGCAGTAAGTCTCCGGAACCCAGCCAAATACTGACATTGCCAGCTAGGCCAACCAGCCCTCCTAGGGACCCACCACCCACCCCAGGTAGTGGCAGAGGCCCCCTGCACATGGAAGTCCTGTCCACACTGGAGGCCTTCCAGGTTGCAAGAGACCCTCTTTTTGTTTTCAAACTGCCTTCCTTCCTCCCTCCCCACTTGAGCTGCAATAACAGTGGACTGCTGGGTCCTCAGCATGGTGGCAGTGGGGTACATCCTACAGTTTATTTAAAACCCCTCCCTCCGATCCCCTCTTTCCCGTCCCTCTTCATGGACCCTTCTCATGAGTGACTTCTTGCCCAAGAGATACAAGCTCTCCTGCGAGTCGGGACCATAGAGGAAGTCCCCACACGTCGGAAAGAGAGAGAGTTTTATTCCCGGTATTTTCTCATTCCAAAGGCCAAGGGTGGTCTCTGCCCTATTTTGGACCTGCGAGGTGTCAACAAGTATCTCAAGAAGTTGAAGTTTCGCATGGTCTCCCTGGCCTCCATGATTTTCTTCTCTGGATCCGGGAGATTGGTATGCCATCCTCGATTTGAAGGATGCCTACTTTCACATATCAATATTCCACGGGCACAGACGTTTTCTGCATTTCACACCACCCTCTTTCCAATGCTGCCCTAGGCCCAGCAGAGGCCCGAGAGCTCAGGGAGGAGGCAGGGGCTGTCATTGGGGAGCCTAACTGTCCTCGGCACACGGCAGCCAGAAACCCCTGGGCCTGCTGCCGAGGCTCCCTGTCCACCAAGTGATACAAGCCTCTGCAGGGAAGAGGTGGGGCCGGAGCGGAGCTGCGATGGCTGAGGGCTCCTCTCCACCCCTTTCACTGGCAGGAGCCCTCCTCAGCTGGCGGCCAGCTGGCCAAGAGGAGCAAGTGGGTGGGGGGTAGGTGTAGTGGGAAGGGAGAAGGCAGCCCTGGAGCCACTGGCCGAGAGGAGCAGGGCTGGGCTGGGTGGAGAGGAACCAGCGCCGCGGCCATTTGGCCGCAGCACACAAGTGGAGCACTGGGCACGGCACCCTTTTTGGCGAGCCACCCTCGGCAGCCACCCTGGTCGCCCACCCCAAAGGCCTGCCCTGCTGGCAGTGCCCCTTATACCACAGCATATGTGCCCCACTCCAGAGGGCCCCAGAGCTGGTCCCCTACGCATACCACTGAGGGAAAAACTTCCGGCAACGGTGCTTGTGGCAAGCGCACACACCTACAATGGAATGGACATGAGCAATACATCTCGAAGAACACCAGTTACGAAAAAAGGTAACTGTCTTTTCACAGCATGTAGTGGATTAAGCACTGAAAGCAAGGATCTCCTGCATATTCTAATCCTGGGTCTGACACTTACTCCCTCTGTGGCCTTAGTTGGGTCACTGAACCTTTCTGGTTGAGCTTTTTTATCTGGAATACTTAACTGCCTCACAGGGTCTGGATTATTAACGTTTGTAAAGTGCAACAGCACATAAATGCTTATAGTCACCAGATACATATGGACACTTCACAAAATGGGGGCCAAAGGACACCCACACTTGCAGGTTATTTAGACAGTTATTCATTGTAATACTTTTCTAAATGTTGGCATTATGCACGTAACCCAACACAACCAATGGGGTTCCCTTGATCAGCAGAAGGTTGATTTTAGCACAGACACCACCTCCACTCACAGATGCAAAATGAGTTGATCTGTTGGGATATCAAAGAATTCTCTCTAATCATCCCCAAATCCTCAGGCTAGCCCAGGGACATGATTATAGGGGCATGATTATAACAGATTGGGATCGGTTATATTTTGAGAGCATAAGAAAAATTTTAGTAGGCCCACCAAAAATGCTAAGGCCACTTCTGACCACAGTAGTACAGGGGAGTCGCATCTTCCGTGCGGGTTAGGTTATGAAGTCAGCGCATAAGGCGAAAATCGCGTATAGTCAAATGCTCATTGAGTGGAATGGCGGGCAGAATCGCCCGCACTACAGGTACAGTATTTAAATTGTTGTTTTTTGTTTTGCCGAGCGCATATAGTTAAAATTGCGTAAGTTAAATGCGCCTATGATGCGACTCCACTGTACATTACCTAGAATTATTTGACAGGCATTTCATTGCTGGATGCTTTATCTTGTCTAAATACACAATTCTTTCTTTCCTTCTTTTTCTTCTTTCCTTTCCTTCTTTCTATTGTTTTCCATTTTATAATGTGAGGTGATAAACCTAATACTCTGTCAACACACAAAAGTGTAAAAGTTAGAAAAGGTTCTTTGAGTTACAGAAGTACTTTTTGCAATATTTCTTAAAGATTGCTTTAGAAATTGTGGTTTTGTTTTCTTGGGCATTAATATCTAATATGTTTACTGTGTTATTACATATTTTCTAATATAATGGTTTTCAACCTGTGGTCCACAGAACCCTGGGGGTCTGCAGACTATGCCTAAGATTTCCAAAGGGGTCCACACCTCCATTTGAAATATTTTAGGGGTCCACAAATGAAAAAAAGGTTGAAAAATACTGTTCTAATACAAATACCTCATGAGCTGAAATTGAAATTTTTACACCAATTCACATATTGCCTTCAACACTTCAGCATATATATTGGTTAACTTTCTAAGTTTCCTGGGCCAAAAATAACCCCTAAATCTTGCAGTGTGACTGTTCTAAAAAAGATATGGAACACTTATCCATAGTCTGAGATACTATGTCCTAGAGTTTCCATGTTTTGAAAGCAGAATACATAAATAATACACCTTTTCAAAGGAACGTGCTCTTTCTTCCTGATCATCCTGTTTGTATTCCGTTTGCTGCATACCCGACCACCGACTTGGGATGTATTACATTTTCCCAAACATATTAAAACCAAAATACACTTGTTTTGCACTGGTACAGATGTTATTCTCAACTTTCTATAGCTAGCATCCAATACATTGCAAACATTTTGATATTGGACAATTGTTATGTTTATACCTTTTCTGTTATGGTGAATGAGGCTGCAAGGGTAAGTCAGAGGCTAGGAAATGTAAAAGTCAGTGTTTTAACCTGTTTTCTAATATCTTGCATCAATGCTGTATTTTAATTAAATTTCATTAATTTTGTGGCATTGAACTTTTTTAATGTATTGCATTTGTCATAATTTATAAGAATTAACATAAAAAGGGGTTACATTAATTTATGCCTAGGCCTGTGGTTCCAGGCTCATCTTTAATAGCAGAATAACTTTTCAGTCCATAGAGAAAAGAATTTTTAAACAAGGTCACGTCCATATGATACTTGACAATCTCTGCTGAAGAGCTATCATGAAGGTATTTTTTTCTCTAGAAAGAATATTACTTCCAAATTATGTGGAAACTGCTATCATGGAAATGCACAGATACAGCTGATACATTATCAAAAAGTTATTTTATATATTGCCTGCTCCATATAACGTTAGTGTATAAATAAAGCTAGTTACAATATCCTTGTGTGATTGAAAGAGGAAGGTGTCATATTAGCCTAAAATGCCATCTGTTTTTAAACTCTCATCCTTACAGACTCTTTGGTTGATTTTTTTACTGTTTAGTTTCCTTTATCTGTTTTTTGTTTCCTTTACTAGTCTGTCTTTTTCCTCTCTTATTCTTTTCCTCCTCCCATTTACTACAGGAGAATCAACGCATGCAGCAGAAAATAGACTCCATAACCAGAGAGGTGTTTGACCTCCAGGAGACAATTAATTGGAAAGATAAAAAAATTGGGGTATGAAACTAATACGGGGGGAAAGGGATCATTGATTTAGAAATAGACTGGTATTGTTAGAGGATTCTGGACAGTCCAAAGAAATGAAGGCCATATATATTTTAGCCATTTAAACACAGTTGCAATCTGATATTTGTAACATAGGTGCCCCCGCTGGAACAAAGAAATGAGCTTCACTTCATATTACTGAATTTCACTTACATATACAGTGGGTGAAAGTGATACATTACAATTTTATCCTTCTAAGAAATTGGTTAAGAACGTAGGCTTGGCCATACTAAGATAAACCCATAGGAGCCATCTAGTCAGTTGTCATACATCTAGCAGGAGCCACTGCCTAATACTTCAAGCAGAAAATGAAAAATACATAACCACCTATTCAGTTTTGAAAATATGGCTTACTACACTCATTTTGGATGTTGAATTTACTGCATTATATATGCATTAAGCAACTTGTTATACATTTTATATTAAGAAAGGAGAAATCTAAGTGCTCATAACACTTCAAGACTTGTTAGCCATCTATTCGAAAATGCAGTGTTTTGTTTTGTTTTTAAATAAAATCACTCGTATAAAATCCATATTTTTTCAAGAAGTCTAGCTATATGTCATACGCACATCTCAGGGTTGGTTTTGTGGCCATGTGCCTCACAATACATCAGAAGCATGCAGATGTTTAATATGATTACATACTATGTGTCTGTCATTCACTTAAGCAATCCAGGGTTTTCACTTTGAAAGCATTGTGAAGAATAAAAGATTAAACAAAATATACTATAGATTAAATGCTGTAAAGCTTATTACAAACAACAAAAGAGGAAAGAAGATTGAGTAGCTTGAAGCGCCTAAATAATATGGTGATTGGTGTTATATAAAATAGAACTGTATTAATTAAACCTATTAAATAGAAGACTTCAGTTTGTCATGCATACAGTCCCTTATGTTTTAAGAATTTTTTTTTTTTACCTGTAGCCAGGGCTTGAAAAATCTACCTATTCATGGCAAATATGAAACTTGCCTATGTGGATGTAGAGACCAGTGACATCAACGTCTACAGAATCTAAACCATAATTTCTTTAAAAACAGAGTTTTTAGCCTTTATGTCTCAAAATGGAAGTCCCATCCCACCCTATCACTTGTAAAGGAGAATGAACCTTCTTCCTCTCTCTTTGCCTCCCCTATGATCCTATAGCACTTTATTTTCCATGACTTCATCTTTGTCTCAGCTTTCATTTTTTGTCATCTTCCCCGGTGATAAGCTCTAGTGGATTTGTCAAGACTGGTCTATTTTCACTGTATCCCATCTTAAGACTCCTTTGAGCAGCTGTACAATGCACTATATTTTGTAAGTTATTAGAATTTTATTCTGGTTCTAAGAAGTTGTTTGCAAGGCTGATGCAAACCAGAAATCTGGTTCACAAGCAGGATAGAAACAGCATGTCAGTTTCAAGTCTATTTTTCAAAGTGCTCTCAAATTCACAGGCACATTCAAATAAGATTGAAACTCAGTATATCAGTTTGAGGGCTGAGGTACAATTTATCTAGTCATTTATTCAGGGTCTCCTGAGATACATCTCTCCCCCTCCTCCCGCCATTCCCCCCCTCCCCCCGTGAATTGCTTTTATTATTCAAAGTGCTCCAAAGTGCACCTGCATAGGCAGATTGCCTTGAAAATAGCTATGCCACATCAGGGTCTGGGATAGACTTTGTGGGGCAAATTGGGGGATATTTGGTCAAGGGAATTCTGAAGCAAAGTTTCCTCCTCCCAAGTAACCTGCTTTTAATTAATAAATTGCTCTACAATGCACTTGCAGAACTCAGCTGTCCTGGAAAATATTTTGACAGTAAGAGGGGCTGTGGAAGAAGTAGTTTTGCAAATTTGGTGTTATATGGTAAGGTGGGGTGGGTGAGTGAAATACAACCAACCCTACCTCTGTTACTAAAGCTTTTGGTAGTGAATATTCCCAGTCTTTATTGCCAGCCCCGTGGGGTGGTGGGGAGGCAGAGTTATGGTTGTGTGCCTGTGTTGTGTGAGAAATGTAACAGAACTCTTTTTCAACATTTGTTTTCTGCAATGCTAACCACCTTATACCATGTGTGCAGGGAAACCTTAACTCTGAATTTCCTGTTTTTTGTCAATGATTTGGGTTTTGGGAATTAAACTCTCATGTTCTGTAAAGTCACAAGGAGTCCTGGGAAGTGCAGAGTGCCTACAACCCTAACTCCATGTTTAAGGACTCTTTTGCACTTGAATAACTAAATTGAGATATGTAACAATATATGTTTAAAAAATATATTAAATAGAAATTTGATAATTTTACACTTTAATAGCATACACAATAAACATTGTTTATTCCTTTAAAATGCAAGGATTGTACCTTTGAGTACATGAAGTGGCACTTGGCACTCTGGCTAGTAGGCATCAGGTAAACTTTTCAAGCCCTAATTAAAGCATTCACAGAGTTTAAAAAATAAAGGGCTTGACTTTAAGTTTATAATTTTAGTTGTAGAAATCTAGTGTGCCTGAGAAAACAGTAGATAAGTAATAAATGATTTTTTTTAAAATATCCTATATCCATCAGAGGGTAGCTGTTAGACCAGTCCTATATTTTTAGTATACATTGGTTAAAATTAATTTTTCCATCTATGAAATCCAGTTCAACTGCATGTTTCACTTATTCCAGTTGAAATAAATAAATGAACAGAATAGTGCATTATAAAATATTCTTTCCCTAGAAACTATAAATAATAATTAAAATACAATATATAGTAGAACATCAGAGTTAAACTGACCAGTCAACCACACACCTCATTTGGAACTGGAAGTATACAGATCAGGCAGCAGCGAAGACCCCCGCAAAAATAAAATAAATACAGTACTGTGTTAAACGTAAACTACTATCCAGAAGAAAAATACTGCTTTCCCTTTATTTTTTTAGTAAAGTTTCAAAGCTGTATTAAGTCAGTGTTCAGTTGTAAACTTTTGAAAGAACAACCATAACGTTCTGTTCAGAGTTACGAAAGATGCTCGTAACTTTGAGGTTCTATTGTAGTAGATTTGAGAAGTGGAGAAAATACAATGTGAAGCTATTTACCTTCATTTCTTCCTCTATATCAGTCTGTTCCTAAAGATTAATGCATGACAAAACATTTGTTAGATGAGTTTTCTTGGCAAATGTGTGTTTACATTTGTGCAGTTGTCTCTTATTTGGGATTATTTATAATGCAGTTGTCGCATATTCAGGATTATTTATAGTGCATGTAGTAATTAACTTAAATAGAATATTGGAGTGCTGCCTAATTGGCTGAGAATGTCTGGCTTAACTCTGGGTAACATAGCTCTATGAGATTGTTGTGTTTTCTGTTGTGACCCCTTTTGTGTTAATGTAGTGTCGTTAGTTTTGTGTTTCTAAAAATGTTTGTTAGTAACCAAATGGCTAAAATATTTATGCAAGTAACAGAGAAACAGATAAGTAAAAATGGATAAAAGGAACTAAAATATACTGACCTTGATTGTAAGATTTCTACTCTATGCACCTGTACAAGTCAGAGGAGTTAGTGTAATGGATGTGATATTCTACGGTTTCTACTAATTAAATCCCCGAGTATTTTGGCCTGTGAGAAGGATGTGGAGCCTTGAATGTTCAGTAGTAGTGGTGGCCTGTTTAGTGGTAGTATGCAATTTTTATTAAATAAATGTATATTTGGACTGAAATAGATGTTTCTCTTAAAGCCAGAGGCAGGTATTTATTAAACTTAACCAAAGTGTTTGTCAAAATACCTTATCGCTAAGCTGTTCCCACTATTAGGGTTTTCTAGGATAGTTCAGCTAGACACGAATACTATGCAGAAAAGTCCATGCAGAGATTGCCTTAAAATGGACACATTTGGAAGGACTGCGTTCATTTTGGTAAACAGTGTAATGAATCAAATGGTTGGATTGTAGAGAGTCTGCTGAGCCTACTGTAGGTAGATTGTTTCATGACAAGCATGCAGCACTGAGGCAAACATATGACTGTAAAAGGTAGCTATTGAAGTTGTACATATTATTTTATATCCTCCTTCTCCTTTCTTCACTTTTATTCAGCTGCTTGCCTTATTTGTATAAAATCTCTCTACTGCCTATCACATTGCTCTCTCTCTCTCTCTCTCTCTCTCTCTGTGCCATTCTTTTTCTTGCTATCTGCCTGTACCCAGGCCCTAGAAAGACAGAAAGAGTACTTTGATTCCATTAAGCATGAGCGAGATGATCTCAGAGATGAGTTGGCTGACCTGAAGGAAACAATGAAGACAGGACAGGTATGTCAGTGGCAGTAGTATACAATAATACAAATACAGAAATGGGGGCTCAACCATAGTCAACACAAATCAGAAAGCAGTATGTTATTACTCCAGTACATCCAAATAAAGGTTTGACTCTGATAATGACATAAGTAATACTGCTTGGTCCAAATATGGACCAAAACCCCCAATCCTCACATAAGTTAAATGGAACATTTCAGTTTGGTGTAACTGTTTCAGTCAAGTTGAAAACCCTTCAGAAAATGTAAAATGTAACTGGATAGAAAAGGTTTCTTTTGTATGAGTGAAATTCCTTTTATTTTTTCAGAGACACGGGTTAGTTATAATCCCAGATGGTACTCCAAATGGTGATGTAAACCATGAACCAGTGGTTGGTACAATAGCAGTTGTATCGCAGGAAGCTGCTCAAGTCTTGGAATCTGCAGGAGAAGGACCACTAGGTAAAAATATACTAAATACACGTCTTTTAAAGATTTTACTGGATTTTTGTTTCCCCCAGTATTCACATCCAAAATTGTGACTTTAGAGCTATACACAGATATTTCCGTTACTTACGAAATATGTGCCACTGCCAAGCTGAATGCCCCTATCTTTGTTTAACTAATCTAACAGCATATTTGTTGACTATTTAAAAAAAAAAAAAAATGCAGGTGCGATGAGGACATCTGCAGTTGGTTAATTCTTATGGTCCAGTCTCCATTTTATTGTTTTTGAGGTAACTTCAGAGCGAGCTAAGAAAACTAGGAAATTGGATAAAAATGCAGGATTAGTAAAGTGTTTTGATTAACACATTTTCTTTGTTATGAAATAAATGCTTCTTTAAAAACATGAACTATTTAAAAAGCCCATTTGTGAAAGAAGTCATATGTACAAGAAATAGGAGTGTATATTGTGTCCTGTCATGTCCTTTGAAATATTTTTATGCTGTATTCATGCAAATTGATTGCATCTCTTAATTGCTTAGAATAGGTAGGTTTGCTCTAGTTCCAGTTAGCACAGTCAAACTACTACTGTATGTGGACAAAGTTAGGGTTCTGTTCCCAGGCTCCTGGTTAATTTTGTTTTCCTAGCTAACCTGCACAAATTGTTTTCTCATTACTTAGTACACAAGGAAACATCCTTATGTGTTGGTACATGTAGTATATACATTTTAAATGGAAGACTACATGTTTTTTGTTTTAAACCATTTATTTAATAAATAGTCCTGATATTGCCCAGTCATGTTGAAATGGACAGAAAGAATTGTTAATACTCTTATTTGGTTCTTCTGATGCTTTGTTTACATTATTTTTAAAATAATTCTCTAAGAAACTGAGAACTTGCCAGACCTATTCTAATTTTAGTACTGACTGAGTGGGAGGGTATGTTCTAGTGGTTAATGATTTTCTGGATGAGTTAATTTATTTTAGCTTCAGTTTGGGCCATTAACCAAGCTACTGTTTGTATTCTAGTAACACAACATGATAGGTACTCTACAAACATAGGGAGGCACAGTCCCTTCCCTGAAGAGCTTGCAATCTGAAAGATAAGACACAAATAAAGGGTTGGGGGAAAGGAGTACACATACAGGTAAAATGGTTATAGCAGTAACTAGCCATGTCTTGAGTATTTTTACTAAAGTGAGTATTTTTAGGAAGTGGGAGATGGTTTTGTTTTATTAAATGTATAAATTATCCCCAGTTGTCCCTCAGCCATTCATTAACTACCAGGAATTGTCTGTCTCAGATGTCTTTATTGCTGCTAAACTTTTTATATATTAAAAAGTAAAGAAAATAATTACCTTTTTATATGTTACAAAGATATATTTGAACTGCATGTTGCTGTGAATATAGTGATGTGGTTTGAAGTATTGATGTTTGCTACCATTTAGGCAAGTATAATAAACCATAAGAACTCAAATAATCATTTTCAGTGTCATTAAATTCACAGCTTTTGCTAAGTTTAAAAAATATTTTTATTTTTAAGCTTAATGACAATAAAATAAACATTAAATTTTTGGTTTTAAATCCATCTGGTTTTTAATTGAGATCTTCTTTGGTTCTTTTAGATGTTCGGCTACGAAAACTGGCTGGGGAAAAGGAGGAATTATTGTCACAGGTATAGATGTGTTTGTTTGTTTTTCATAAATATTCTGTAAAGGGATAGGTTAGGTTTAAAAAAGAGTGTCCCTGAAAAACATGTTAGTACATTAATAATAAATAAAAAGCTACTAAACCTGTATGTAAAACAAACTAAACCAAAATATTAGCTTTAATAAAACTTCCAACTTTGTTGATGGTCAGCCAAAAACTACTAAGCTCCTCCCATTGCTGCCCTGAACAGCATGAACTTGGTCTTATGCAATAGCTAGAGTGGTGGATTCTTCAAGCTGTCTCCCTTATGGTTGTTCTGAGTGATCCTAATTGGAAGTATATATGGATCTTTGTGAAGGTGCTTCCTACCTCTCCTTTTTAATACTAACATTGTGCTGTATGATTGACTCATTTGCATCTTACCATTACAGATCATCATTGATCAGTGATGGTTATATGAAATGAAGTAGCTATTTATTCATTCTTTCTCTTATTTCTTTTTATAAAAGCAAGAAGAAGTTACTAAAATCTTACAAGGTTTGGGAGTCATTTTTGAACAGTACCAGTATGGCTGACTCGAGAGAAAGCAGAAGCCAGGGTCGTTATGTGCTCTGAGAGATCTGTCCAGGACAAGAGTACTCAAACTTTTCCATACTGTAGAGTCTCTCATAGATAATCTGTCCTCCCATGTTGTGATTCTTCCAATTTATCATCACAATATTCCTGTGATAACTACAGTTAGTTAAAAGGGAAAATATTATGAATATTAGCTTTTAATGCAGTTTAGCAACTAGAAAAGAGGAGGTAGTAGTTGGTGACTAGCAAGTGACCAGTGGACCACCAGCAGGTGTTCCTTAGACTACTAATCCACGGACCACAATTTGTGAACTTGTGGTCTAAGGGAAGGCACGGAGTATAGCTGCACAGGACACAGATCTAGCCATTCTTATCAGCCTTTGTTTTCATTGAGAGTGTACCAGATACCTTATTTTTAATATTCAAATGAATATCAAATAACAATGTTTTGGGCTCAAGCCAAAATAGAAGCCAAATACTGGCTAGACCATAAAAATACAATCATTTTTTAGAGCATGGTAGTTGTAAAAATCATTCTATTTTGAGGTGGCTTATGTAAACTCCTGTTTGTGAGATTCAAACTCCCTACATCATTCCACTCAGCTGTGGAGGAATTTTCCAATAGTGTAGGGCAAAGATAAGAGCTCCTACCTTCTTTACCAGCCCCCAACTATAGGGGTCATGGCTGGGCATTTCTTACATACTGATGAGCCCTGACTTCCGGAAATACCTGTAGGAACTGCTGACATGTAACACAAAGTTAAGCTACTTTTGAGACTACTCTAACTCTGCACAGGTGACCAGTTTGGCAGCCATCACTTCAGGGAATGAGGGATCTTGGGATCTGAGCCATAGTTTTTGTAGGTTTCAGAGTAGCAGCCTTGTTAGTCTGTATCCGCAAAAAGAACAGGAGTACTTGTGGCACCTTAGAGACTAACAAATTTATTAGAGCATAAGCTTGCGTGGGCTACAACCCACTTCTTTTGTAAACTTTTAGAAATGTAAATATACATGAAAAATTTCACACACAGAGGTCAATTGGCACTTCATGCTGAGAATCATAATGAAGGGGAAAATGTTTAGTGGTCACAATATAACTTCTAGTAGATTACTCTTCATAATATGACATTTTAATTTCAGATTAGGAAACTGAAGCTGCAACTGGAAGAGGAACGACAGAAAAACTCTAAAAATGATGGCACAAATCCAGATATAACAGGATTAGAGAATGGTTCTGATTTGCAGTTAATTGAAATGCAGAGTAAGTATACACACACACATACAGTTTTAGAATTATTTTTTGTTGGCAAACTTCCTCTCAGTGCATTCCTCAATATACAATAGTTAATAAAACGTCTGTGTTTGCTTCTGGAGCTTAATAAAAGTTCTGGCAAGTTAATTTTTCTTAGTTGACAACTTTGCCTAACTTTGATATAAATATTTGCCAAATTTCATTATTAGATGATAGAATTTCACCTGAATTATTTTGCTAGTATTTTCCCCTGGTTTCTTATCGTGTTGAAGCTTGATCCACTAACTCAGTCTGAAAGACTCTCTGTCACTATCTGAGAGCAAACAAAACTTATTAAAATCCTGCCCAACGTTCAGTTTCACTTCATACAAACTGACCAGGCTAGCTTGAGTCTGAGCAAGCAAACTGTTTCTCCCTTGCTGTCAGCACCCATATAGAGCTGCTAGTCATTGACAGGACAGTCATTTGAGAGATGTGCCAAAGCTATCTTAAGCAGAGCTGTGATTGCGTCAATTGGCAATTTCTGAGCAGTACTACCAAAAATGATTTGCAAACCTGCAGGAAATTCATTCTTTTCTTTCTCTTCGTCTTGTCAAGCAAATTCAAGCTTTATTCTGCTTTTTGGTCAAATGCTTTTTCAGATCTCTGTGCTCAACCTCCAGAATTTATATTTACGTTGGGATTCTTGTCCTCAAACCAGTCTTAATATAGTGATTCTGCTTTTCAAGGAGATGATCTGTTGGTGGTGAGATGGTTTGTTGACGTTACCAATTATTTTGGTCTGTCTGAAGTGCACATTTTAAAGTGTCTATATCTTGGGGTTATGGAAGTAATTAATGCAGGCTTGGTGTTTTCAGTCTCTTATAATGGGTCTGTTATGTTGTCATATGTAAAAGATAGGATCATTATTCTAGCTTCTTTAGTCTCCAAGAGAAGAGAATCTATAAAGAATATTTACACCACAAGAGAGTCCTGAATATAGTAGTGTTCTTTGAGCAGTGGTCCCTCTGTGTGTTTCACACCTGGGCTATGCATGTGCACCATGTGCCTAAGTCTGGAATTTTTTAGTAAGCAATGTCCATCCGTAGCATTTGTTCTGCTCTGAACCAAAAGTATAAGGAATGGTGCAGACACACCTCCCATTTCCTCTTGTTGCCTTGAAGTCTGAAGGAGTCTTCTGTCCTTTCAGCTCCTTCTGCTACTGTGTCATTTCTGTAAATATACTAAAATTAGTTTGTTTTTAGTATTCTTCTCCTTTTTAGACTCCAGTATAGTAGAGTTAGATAGTTGTTCCCCCTTTTTCCCCATTCTGCAGAATTTCCCCCTCTGCCCCGCCCAGGAAGGCTGAGATTGTCCCAAGTTCAAAACTTGTGTTTCCTGCCCTCGCTCTTTTTCTGTGAGCAATCAACATCAGTGCGCCTCTGGGCGAGTTTCATATCTCAGCCATGTACAGTATTTGCTGCTCCTTCCCCCCAGAACTCATGAGGGTCAGGAAAAGAAAAGGTGATGAGACCCCAATCAGATCCAGGCTGGGAAGATCCCCCTGTACAGCAGCCTCATCGGTCAGGAAGCATCCCTCTGAGCACACGCTTGGGAGTTGAAGCTAAGAATTCTAAGCCTGAAGAGAAGGCTTCCGATGAGAGTAAGATGCCTGGTCATAAGTATAGGGATAAACTGTCTTCATCCAAAATTGCTCTGAAGAGAGAGCATCACTCCCCAACCCCACCAAAGTTAGGCGAGCCTGCGCTACAGACACTAAAGACTTAGGCCTGAATAAATCTTCTTGGCAAGAGAAAGTGGCACATAAGGGTACAGATATGCCTGTTCTGGTACCGGTTCCGATGTCCAAAGCACAGGACAAACATTCTCCAGAGCTGATGCAGTGCCTATACCGAGACAGCCCCAGAAGGATCCGACTTCTACTGTGACCAGGGAAGCTCCCTATCCTCATATTCATTTGCTCGCTCTCTCACTCATACTCTCACACACACCCCATCTCTATTCAGAGATGTTACTTCAGAAGAGGAGGCTAGTCCTCCTCTCCCACCTGCAAGTCTCTGTACAAAATCATTGGTACTGTTATGTACTGCTGGTGATCTGGTGTTTTCTTACAATGAGTTGGAAGCTCCTCAGGAGACTCTGTGGTACCAATCAAAGATGGCCCTGCACAGAAGCCCTAGAACATCAGGGTTATGTCTTCTGGCCAGGCATGATTTCCCAAGGGACAGGTGCTAGCCTATGCCATGGGTAGAGATACATAGGACAGCTACCTGGAGCTCCTTGCTCACCATCACAAGATGTTACACTTTGGTCCAGTCTTCTGTTACAGATACAGCTATGGGGACAGCAGTATTAGCTATCACATCTGCGTCCTTGCAACCACCTCTTGTTTGAACACTGCTTGTTAATCTCTCACCTGTGGAATATAGGTAGGGACCATCACTTGAAGAAGAAACGGAGGTTACTTACCTGTAACTGGAGATTCTTTGAGCTGTGTGGTCCCTATCTGTTTTCCATTATCTGCTCTCTGTCATGGAATATCTGGATTTGGAGCATGAGGAGAGCTACAGCACGTGTGGACCAGTGGGGCACTGCTTACTAAAAAAAATTCCAGACTCAAGTGCATGGTGCGCATATGTACCCACATGTAGAATATGGGACCACACATCTCAAAGAACCTCCAGTTACAGGTAAGTAACCTCTATTTCTCAATGGAGTCATATTTTAAATTCATTTGAATTAAAAAAGGAATTGCTTATTAATGACACTTTTAAGAAATCCATTAATGTCTGATTTTATTTAGGAGATGCCAACAGACAAATAAGTGAATACAAATTTAAGCTTTCAAAAGCTGAACAAGATATAACTACCATGGAACAAAACGTAAGTGTATCTGTCTTTAGATTTTTTTATATAGTAAATTTAAGTAAGTCACAGATTTTTATGCATAGTATACTCTAGTTATAAGATCATTTTTCTCAGATGTAGATTCCAAAATTGATTCTTCATATCTGTTTTGTGATTCACCATAATGGCTTTACCAGCTGCACTAAATTCATCCTTGTGTTACCATTTTCTTACAAATCAATACTACTTCATAACCTCACCACATTTTTTACTGTGTAAACTGGATTGCTTTCTTAAATTACTATCTGTGCAAAAGGTACCCTTGACTTAGGGAGATAAAGAAAATTAGATATTTTTATGTAGTAAACAAGGCAGTAATTTACTTGAGAAACTCTTCTGGGTTTCCATAGTTTATAAATAGCAAAATAATTGAATGCTCTGAGAGCGAATTAGTGTTTCAGTAAAAGGGGATTGCTTCAGCACTTGGCAAATAATTGAGTTACACAGTGCAATTCTGTAAATGCTTTTTATCACTATGCTACATATTTGATTTCATTACTCTGTGAACTGTTGTAGAACATTAACAGGTCATAACTCTTGCATTCTAACTAGAGAGTGGTGAGTGAGCTTTAAAGCTAGGGTTCCTATTCATATTTTGTTTGGCGCTCCATCCCCCTTTGTTACAGAGCTGGGCTTGGACTCATGACCTCTCACATCATACCCTGACCCATTGCCATGTCTCACCTCTCTTGTTTCCACTGCCTCTGTTTCCCAGTTTACTTTCCCTTCCTTCTATCTTCCCCTCCCAGTTTTCCCACTCTCCCTGCTGCCAGTGCTCTTCCATTCTCCTCAATCCACTCCCTGCTGTCTCACCCTGAAGAGTGACAGACAGTGGGACCTTCTCTGGTGTTTCTACCCTCCATGAGTCTCCCTTCTTCCTGTTTCCCTGTTCTTTAAACCCTGATGTTTCCCTTTCTCTGCAATCTCAGCTGCTTCTGCACATTAACACTAACCACCTTCTCTCCTTCTGAGGGTGCCATAGATAAGGCAGGGAACAGTGCTGTGGAGTGTCACATAGGAGAGAGGAGAAGGACAGACAGGTGGGTAGCCCATCCCATTATAAAGCAGTCAGCAGTCTTTTTTTTTTTTTTTTTTTTTTTGGTGGTTTACTTGGTTTGCAGATTGGAAGACTTGAAGGACAGGTGACAAGATATAAATCTGCAGCAGAGAATGCAGAAAAAGTGGAAGACGATCTCAAAGCAGAAAAGAGGAAACTTCAGCGAGAGGTAATCAACTCCATTTTCCTTTCAAAGTAAACATGATGGAGTTTTCATTAATAAAACCAAATGCCTATGAACATTTAATCTTTGTAGCTGTTATGGGAGTAATTCTGTGACCAGTCTGTTGGCTTTCAACAAGGGGATAAGAACTACAAATGATCATATATAGAGAACTTTTTCTTCAGTATGATGTCTCATTCACCTGAGGCTGGCCCAATGTATTTCACGATCATGTGTTTTCTGAATGCGGCTGACAGAGGAGTTCTGCAGGATCTGCAAGCATTTCACTGGCAATTATCTTGGCTTACAGCAATGCTCTCCTGTTCTGCAGCAGCCTCTCCTCTGAACCCTATTCTCTAAATTCTTGGACATGCTCCTTATAATACTTTTTTTTTAAATCATCTTCCTCATTGTGTTGGTTCCTTGAATGAGTTATATCCACTTCCATTGTTGCCACCTTTTTATCTTTGCTGTCAAATTGAAGCCAACTTGAGAGCACTGGTAAATGGTTTCTTATCCGTGCATTGACAGCCTGTTTTTTGATTGTTTTGCCCTGCAGTTGAAGCAGCAAGATACTTGACCTCCTGAGCTTCTGAAGCCCTTGTCTTCATTGAGGCCTTGACTTACTCCACCTTTGTTTGCGCTTTGTTCCCAGTCTGGAGCATGTTACATTGTGAATATCATTGCGCTCTCTCTGACTCACTAAGTACTGTCTTCTTCCAGCTCCAGACCTTGACTCTTTGAGATACAGTTCCAAACTGTGTAATATTTTGTTCTTTTGTTACTAATTTTAAGGTATGGTAGAAAGAAGGCCTCCTAATAACTTCAAAAAGCTTCTGGACTGTAATTGAGCCCTGTTACTCAGCAGCAGGCTCTATTACTGCATTGTCTGGCAATGACCAGGGTGAGAGATGTCACCCTGGAATATTAGGTCTCAGAGTATGTCTGCACTGTACCTGGGAGCGTGGACCCAGCGAGTTGGGCAGGCTTGGACTTGGGTGGCTAGCCCAAGCTGCCACCCCTGCCACATCCACACTACTATTTTTAGCACACTAGCTTGTGTGAAGTTAGCAAGAGTCTGTCTACCTGTGCTGGGAGTCTTGCTCCTAGCTACAGTGTAGACGCTTTTGGGGATCTAGTGATCAGAGGACTTTCAGGAAGTTTCTCTGGAACATCAGCCTGTTCCTGGGAGATCTGACTGAAGTGTTAAAGGTTTGATTTCAGAGCAAAGACCAGAGTGCGTCTCTAAGCTAAACTTCAACCTTTGCCTGAATGCTTCACGCCTTATATGTTCTGCCACAGTTCTTCCTCATGGGAGGCATTATGTCTGCCAAAGCACCCGGTAGAAATCAACCAGTTCAGTTTACCTCTCTGAGTTATCTGCGTGGGTAACTGAGCCAATGGATTCTAAGATATAGCAGCAGGAGAGGAGGATACTCTTTAGTTTACTTTAAGGGTCTCCACTATTTCCAGCTCTGTCCCAAACTTCCTATGTAACTTGGAGAAAGTCATTTAAACACTGAGTGCATTTATTCCCTCTCTGTAATTGGAGATAATTGTGAGATTAAATCCATTAGTGTTTGTAAAGTGCTTAGATAGGAGAGAGTCCATCTATTTACCTCTTAACATGAAGATGTTCTTTGAGTAGATACAGACATGTATTCCACTCAGATGTATGCGTGCCCAGCGCACCAGCACCAGATAATTTTGCTTAATAGTACCCGTAGAGGGGTGACGGTGGTGGCTATTGCCCCTCCTTTGGCTATTTGAGGTGGCACCACCCCAACCTCCCCCAGTTCCTTCTTAGCGCCTGTGGCTGGAGTCAGAGCTCTGTGTGGTTTGCATTTCAAATTCCTCTATTTAGTGACTTTGATTGTATATAGTTAATTAGTACCTGTAGGTTAGTTAGTTAAGTTTTCCCTGGTGATGTCCTCACTAGTATCTAAACTTTGTCCATCATGTGTGGGGGCGATTCCCAGCAACGATCCCCACACACAGTGCTTGCTGTGTCTAGGCAAAGCCCATGTCCAGGAACAGTGTTCGCTTTGCAGATTACTCATGAAACGGACTCAAGTGGCAAGAGATCTTTATCTGAAGCAGCACCTGCTCGAACACACCAGGCAGCCTACTTTGGCACCAAGTCCTTCCTCGGATTGGAGATCGCCCTCAGGTGTGAGAAGTGCTGCTGCTTCACATCCTGAGCTGGTGCCTCTCCAAAGAGACAGAGAAGTCATTCCCTGTTGAGTGTGCTGAGGAAAAGGCCACTTGGAGCTGCAGGGGGCCGTGCCTGCGGACGGTCAATGTCAGCAAAATGTCACAATCGGATTACCCTGATGGGCCGCAGGTTGCCCACCACTAGTCTACACCACTCCAGGCACTGGAAGTGACAGAGACATGCACTTTGCTGGAAGTACTGTTTTCACCATTGGCACTACCCCTCTTGTCATTCTGGGCTATGGCCGAGTCAGTCCAGCTGCTTGCACCTTCAGGGATGGTCCCATAGCCATCCCCTGAAGCCCGGGATCCCTTGGTGTCCAAGTCGAGATCTTTCTCTTCCTGTTCCTTGGATGAGGGCCCTTCATGGAGCACTGTTGGTACCAGGACTGGTGTTCATCTCATGGTCAGGACGGAGGCCCCTGGCCTGGTGCCTACTGGCCACCAATGCCCTATCTATACCAGTGGCCTTCATGGGACTCTCCTCAGTCACGGAAGTCCTGCTCCTCAGCCTGCCTGAGGCTGAAATCACCAGCCAAGTCTGTGGTGGTGACCATCGATCTGCCACAGATCCAGGCACTGGTGAGGCTTTACCTCGGAGCCTCCCGAATTGTCTCGCCCAGGCCGGTCAGCCTTGGGATCAGGATCTGGCTCTGGCTCAGGCACACTTAAGTGCCTTATCCTCATCCCCAGACAATTCTGTGGTGCCATGCTCTTCCTTCCTTTCGGTATTGGAGAATTTCAAGGCATATTGGGACCTGTTGTGGTGGCTGCTTCCCTGGGTATTCAAGCAGAGTTCCTGTAGGTGAACACCCACAAGTTAGTGGAAATCCTGCAGCTGTCTGCCCCTGGGAGAGTCATTCCCCCTGTTAACATTGTGCTCTATGAGCCTACTAAGGTCCTCTGGAGCACACTAGCTTTAGTACCACCTGCAGCTAAGCACATGGAAAAGAGCTGCTTTGTTCCTGTGCAGGGATTTGCAGGGTTTTTTTTATTTCCATCCAGCCCCAAGCTCCTTGGTGGTAACAGTTGTGAATGATAGAGCCCAACAGGGCAGGTTTAAGTCCACTCCCAAGGAGAAGGACTCTAAGAGCATGGACCTGATGGGAAGGAAGATTTACACCTCCTCCTTCTTGCAGATGCGAATTGCTAATCAGCAAGCATTGCTGTCTGAGTACAACTTTATCAACTGGACGGCTGTGTCCAAATTTGCAGGCCAGCTGACCAAAGCCTCGAGGGAGGAATTTTGGGCATTTGTCACCAAAGGCTGCTTGGTGGCTAAGATGGCTTTGCAGTCTGTGCTGGATATGACTAATTCTTCAGCCAGGTTTCTGCAGTGACCATGAGGAGTCGTCTTGGCTGCAGAATTCTTGCATTACTCCCGATGTCTAGCAGGCCATTGAAGATTTACCCGTCAGTGGTCAGGAGCTATTCTCAGATAAAACCAACAAGATTCTGCACTCCTTTGAGGACTCTGGGGATACTCTTTGGTTCTTGGCGGTGTATACACTGGTGGTGGAGAGATTCCATCATAGCATTCAACAGCAACCGCGGTATCATCTGCAGTGCACATTTGGGCAGCCTTTCCCTCTCCCAAGACAGCGGGACTACCCCAGAAAGGGCATAGATCCCTCAGAAGGAAGCAGTCCTGTTTGGGATTCAGACAGTCCACATGTTCTTCCCCAAAGCATCCATTTTGACTTCTTGGTCCAAGGCAATGTTCCAGTTGTCATTTTCTTCCCCTCCATTTGCTCGATCCCCACCAACGGCTGGGTCCTAAGCACCATCAGATTGGGCTATGCCATCCCGTTCTTTTCCATTGTGCCTCACTGTTCCTCTTCAAGGACCCCACTCATGAGATATTGCTCCTTGAGTAGGTTTGTGCTCTGCTGGCGATGGAGGAGGTTCCACAGGATCACTGAGGTCAGGGTTTCTATTCACGTACTTTCTGATGCCCAAATCCAAAGGAGGGGTAAAACCCATTCTCAACCTTATGGCCTCAACAAATATATCAGGTACATGAGATTCTGCATAGTCACTCTATTGACTACCCTCCCTGCATTGTCTCAAAGACTGGTTTGCTGCATGGGACCTTCAGGCTGCCTACTTTCATGTAGCCATTTTGCAGAGCCACAGAAATTTCCTTTGATTCGTCGTTGCAGAGGGCCTTTTCCAGTATACGGTGCTTCCCTTCGGAATCTCTTCCGCCCCTTGGGTTTTTACCAAATATATGGCCATTGTCACAGGATCTCTCAGAAGGGGATCAACATCTACCCATATCTGGATGACTTGTTACTGAGAGGCAGATCCAGAGAAGGATCACTTTCTCACTTCAACAGTACACTGCATTTGCTCTCCATATGGGTCTAATCCTAAATACTGGGAAGTCAACTTGGGTTCCGACTCAAAAAATAGAATTCATTGGGGTCCTAATAGAGTCTGAGTTTGTGTGTTTCTGCTGACCGTTTTCAGGAGATTCACCAGCTCCGCCTGTCTCAGCCTTCCATGACAGTTCAGATGTGCCTGAAGCTCTTGTGTCACATGTCTGCTTGCATGCAGGTGGTCCAGTTTGCAAGGTTGCACCTTTGCCTCCTTCAAATATGATTCAGAACAGTTTACTGTCCGACTCTTTGCTCTTTGAACAGATTGGTCCATCTTCCTCCATTGGTCCTCAACTCCTTACAGTGGTGGATGCTCCTTGAGAGTATTTTTCAAGGCATTCCTTTCATCCAGCCCTTACGAACCAGGACTGTTGTCACCGACGCCTCCCTGATGGGCTGGGGAGCATATCTGTAGTCACTGAAAGTCAAAGGTCTGTGGTTGAAGCAGGAGTCCTCTCTGCATATCAACATGAGAGCACAAGCAATGTCAGTAGCATTCTTCAGTGACATTTCCATATTGGACTTTGCAGGGCTGCTACGTGCTCGTCCATATATACATTTATGAACCAATATGCCATTACTTCATCTTCTAAGGTGGATGCAACCTTCAGAAGGGCGGTCCTGCAATCCTTGTTTAGGTAGACTCTGAGCCCTACCTCCTGGAAGGGGTACTGCTTGTGAGTCATCTAAGTGAAATACATGACTGCATCTATTCAAAGAAGAAATGGTTACTTACTGTAACTGGTTCTTTGAGATATCATGGAGACGTGTATTCCACAAGCCACCCTCTGTCCCCTCTGCTTTGGAGTCTCATCTCATGGGTATTCAGCGTGAAGGAATTGAGGGGGTTGTGGCAGTGCCACCTCATAACTAGGGGAGGAAGGGCTGGGGTGTAAGCACTACCCCTGTAAGGGTCCTGCTGGCAAAATTCTCTGGCTCCGTCGTGGTATGCACACACACACCTAAGTGGAATACACATTTGTATCACATCTTGAAGAATTTGTTTCAGTAAGTAACCATTTCATTTTCTTCAGGGGTGACACAAGCCTCTGCACTAACAAACACTTTTAAGATGCTGGAACAGGTCATAGTTTCAGATGGATAGTTGATGGGGCTCCAGCCTGTTACACTGCCTCCTGTGCAACTAGCACACTACTCACTTGACACTATCTGCTGTGTTGGGCTTGGCATAGTCATTTATCATTTGTGTATTATAATAACACATGGGGGTCCTAGTAATGAACCAGGACCCTGTTGAGCTCAGTGCTGTAGAAACTCAGAACCAAAAGGCTGTCCCTACCTGGGGCTGGCTATGGCTCTCTCTTTCTGCACTAGAGGCTGGTATAGTCCAGACTAAAGCTGATTTAACTCACAGCATGACACCCCAGATTATGATTCAAGATGCTTGGCTCTCATATCCATATGAAAACCTCCAAGTTTTTTTACAAGCTCCTGAGCCTGTAGTCAGCCTGCCAATCTCATCCTTGAAGGATGTTCCAATGGGAGGAAGACTTAATTTTCTTTTTAATCTTAACACCACCTTGGGTTCCCTCAGACACGTGGTTCCTCAGCAGGACTGCAAAGTTACTGCTATAGGACTGCAACTCAGAATGCCCATGAATTTAATACCACCAGAAAGAAATGTTACAGGAAATCCAAACCCTCCTGGCTACAAAAGAAAAGTGATAGAAGAAAAGGACTGTATTCAGGTATTTCATTATGTTTAAAATGCATGGGTTTGAGCCCTCCTGTTAGATGTCAAATTTCTCAATGTGTGTTTTCTCAGAGTTAAGAATGTCGTCTCTGGGAATCATGCCTCTTTCAAAGTGTCTGGCTACATGCTCTGGACCTGACAGTTACCTACTGTCTACCTACAGGGAGACAGATAAAGCACAGGATAGTTCTCAGAGTTGTTAAGGAGGAGATGGCAAAGACAAATTTGGGGTATTGCTTTTATTCTGCTATCCGCACTGCATATATTCCAGAAATTTTTTAGAAGAAACCTCACCTTTATGCAAAGTGAAATGTGTTCCCTTAACCTGGACCAGTTGGGTGATCAAGAGCTATGCTGTGGCAGGAATCAAAGGATCTGTCTGTGCCATCATGGGAATGGTAGAACCTTTAGTGTTCACGATAAACTACTCAAAGTTTCATGTCCTCCCAGACAATTGTAGGCAGTGGGAGTCCTGCTAATTACAACTCAGTGCAAAGCTTTCTTTGTCAGGAGGGAGTACAGAGTTCTCTACCATACTGACCTGATCGTTCTGTCAAAATTTTGGGGGAGCAAACTCTCCCTGTATAGCGTTCAAGTGTGTGGGGGCCCCTACATACCAGTACACAGTGTGGAGATGTACCACTATGCAAATCTCCAATGCCTACTGCATAGGGAGCCAACTAAGATTGCATTAAACTATGCTAGCCAATGGGCTGGAATGGGAGCTGCTGTACAAGGCATGAGGATTCCTACCCCTGCTCATCAGCTGGCTCAGTTTTTGAGGATGACACAGGACTTTGCCCCAAGGGAGTAGTTGTAATATGAAGCTCTGAGTGCCCAAAAGCTCAGAAATGAATATACACCTTTATTTTTAAATTGTTTCTCGATTATGCTAATATCAGCAATTGAGTGAGTTCTGCTTCCTTTGGATACAATATAACAATTGCATGGTTAGCAGTGAGCCAGGTTCCATTTTTCTTGACCTAACTGACAGTCTTATAAAGAACATAATCAAGACTTTCAACAGAGAAAATTGGGTTGTGATCCTAAACACAAAGTTCATCTTAGTGTTTTAATTTGTGCTACTCACACCAGGACATTAAAACAATAGAAACCCAGCTGCAATTATTCTGAAATAGAATGTAACTTTTTTTTTTTCATTTTTAGTTAAGAACAGCATTGGACAAGATAGAAGAGATGGAGATGACCAATAGCCACTTGGTAAAAAGGCTGGAGAAGATGAAGGCAAACAGGACTGCTGCGCTTCTATCTCAACAGTAGAAGAAAGTTTTAGAAAATGGAAAAAATTGTGCACTGCTCCTTGAAATAACTAGCCCTTAGCTTGTTTTAATACAGACTTTCATTGGCACAAACTATTTGAACACTGAGCTGTTCAGTAATATTTTAGTTGCAGAATTAAATAGCATACCTTTTGTAACTTATGAGAGAATGAAAAATTTGAATTCCTATGTGAATGATGGTGATTTTTATTTAGCAGTTTAATTGTAGAGTCAGAGCTGGAGCACAATGCGGTATGATTGACTTATTACTAGAAAACATTTGTTTTCACAACTGTGGAATCAAGTTTACTTAAACTTTTTTTCAGCTGCTTTAATGATGCTTGGTGCTTGAAGACAACTGCATGAATTCAAGAGGACACTGTATTAGAAATTAACAAATGTACTTGCTCAAGACATCACACAGCACAAGTGCCTTCTATATGGTGCAATTTAGACTTCAAATATGTTAGATCTAACCTTTGGAAGCAGATAACATTTATTTTAAGAGGTTTTTTTTGGGGGGGGGGGGAGGTCTATGTTCATTAAAGTTTATAAATTTTGATGGAAAGGTGCATTTTTGTAATATTTAAATTTATATAAAAATAAAATAGGGACTATTCTAAAACTTGCTTTTTTGCATGGGTGATAGCACATCTGAGTTCTAGGTTATTTTGCCAAGGAAGTACTAATATAAAAATAGGGACTTTAACCAAGGAAGATGTTTTGTTTTACTTTGTATAGCAACTGCTGCTTAAGTGTGGAATGAAACTTTAGGGTGGAAGGTGGGGTAAGGAAATGTCTGAGGAGTTCATTAAATGGACACTGTACTAGCCAGAAATGAGTGGCTTTTTTATATACAATCTTAAAGCTGTATCAGGAGCTATACTCTATATAGACATTTAAACCAACCTGATCACTTTGTTACCTGTGACATTCTGTAAGATGCTCCAGTAAACATTCCTGATCTTGGAGGGCATTAAATGTACTTACATTTGCTATTTCAAAACTTTAATTGAGTTATAAGTACAGATAAAAGGTGAGTTTAACTTTTAGAGCTGTAAGCTTAAGTGAATGTTTACTTTATCAAAATTGTTATTTTTTCTAAAGTCTCTAGCCTACAGATCTTCACAGCTGTCTATCAGGAAATCTGCTCCCTTTTGAGGCACCACAGCTGCATTCTGAGTGAGAGGGAAGCTTTCAACATGGCTGGAAAGTTTCACTATAGCAAAGTCTCTCATGTCACTTACAGTGAAATACTGCAGCAAAGAGCTACAGTAGTTGAATATAGACAGTTTTATTTCTGAAATACTCTTTGCTGAAAGGCAGTATGACAAACTCCTTTCTTCCATTACAGTCATCCAGCTTTATCCCCCTGGTATGTAACAATGGGATATACCAGTGAGTCCATCCAACTAAAATATTCAACACCTCTCAAAAACTTTATATAGGTCTGGCAGATTAGCAAGCTGCAAAATGTTGCCATCTTCTGTGAAGTGTTTAGGAGGCAAAAGGTGGGTCCTAAAAGCTTTGTAAATAACGTGTTCCACAGTCCATTTCCATGATGATGAACCAGATCCAAGCTCTTCAGTCTGAAAGAAAAGTTTGGTTTTAAAAAACCAGTACTCTTAAAACCAATTTTATGGAAATATAGATTTGATAAGTTTTTCAAAACCTTGACTTTTTCCTGCTAAAACAGCTGTAGCTGGGAGTGCTAAATCATTTACTTTAGTCTTTGCAAATTAGTTCACTATCTTGATTAAAAAAAATCCACTAGTCAGCTTTCACATAATCACAGCCCCTCACTACCATTAAGAGAACTGTACTAACTCTAAATTAAGCTATAGAAAAGGGTTGAGTCAAAATACCTTTCAAAAATTTCCAGTGCAGGGTTTGGGTGTAAAAATAAAACTAGTCTATCACACTTTATACGAAGTGCTCACCTTGAAAGGCTCCTGCTGTAACAGATCAGCTTAGGCTAGTGCTAGAAGAAATTAACTTTGCATAGCTAACACTGGGGCGGGGGGGGAAGGAGAAAGTGTGAACTGGACTATGTTTTCTGGTACAAACAATGGTTTATGAAAGTCCAGTCATCTACTCCCATCCAACTCACTTGCAAAGGACTGGGTTGACAAATGTCAGCATAATTTGGGCTGTGGACTGTTCATGAGACATGCCTCTTCAGCTCAAGCTGAGTTTGCAAGAGGTTGTAGGTAGAAAATATTTTCCCCCTACAATCAGGGCAACTGCCACCATTGAGTCATCTGCTGCCATTTTAATCACTTAAAGGATCTAATTTTTGTAGAGATTTTACTGAAACAATCTTAAAAATGTAGAGCTCGAAGGGACCTCAAGAGGTCATCTACTCCACCCCCTTTGAGACAGGATTGAGTAGAAGTAGAGAGGTGTTCGCCTACCCTCTTCTTAAAAACCTCCAATAAGGGGATTCCACAGCCACCTCAGGTAACCTCTTTCACTGCTTAACCTTTCCTTAGAATGTTTTTCCTAATATCAAACCAAGCCCATTACTACTTGTCCTACCCTCCCTCCCTGCACATGGAGAACTCATTACCATCCTTATAACCAGGGCTTTGGAGTGCAGAGCAGCTCTGGAGTAGTGGAGCTGCAGCGGAGCCGGAGCACAGCTCCAAAGCCCTGCTTATA